ATCTTTGCCCCCCTTTAGTTATAATCGCATTTAATAATAATAATTGTTTCCGTTATGAGAGACTACTGTTTGTCGATTATAATTATAATATATGCAAGTTGTACGTGAAATAAATATAAATGCTGTAAATCGGAGGAAGATGGGACGCATATGTTTCTTCGAATTTCCGCGTCCCTCGTCTCCCTTGTCTTCCTCGCCCATGCTGTGACGTTGGTAATTAACGACGGGACTATAATAATTAATAATTGTGCGGGTTGTATCAATATTTCCTTTTTTAATTTCGTCCGACAAACCGGACGCTCCGTACCCCTCCGTCGTCGTCGTCTTCGTCGTCGTCGTCGTCATTGCCCCACGAGCAGCCTCGACTGCTTTCGAGCGGTCTTGAGGCGAGCTCACTCGACACGTATAAAGGACCTTTAGTCTTTACTTCTTTAAACGCTGTGATAGAGTGGATGAAAGGTGGGGTGCCACTCGACCGGCGGCGGAAGAGGCCGCGGGTGCCCTCGCTGAGGGGGCACGAGTTCGCCTTTATATCGTAGAACGAGGGCCACTCGAGAGGCCAGGAAGCGCCGAGGTGAGGGCGACTCCGTGACTATCACCGGATCTACCGCGGCAATTATTTTTAAACACGCCGTGTAGATAGGGATCTCTTTTAAGCACCAAAAATGAGAGAGAGAGAAAGAGAGTGTTTTGCGCGGGGTGCCCAGGTCTTCACCTTGTAGCTTGTAGCTCGCGTACGGGGTAGAGTGGCTTTTAAACAAAAATCGCGCCGACTCGCGCTTACTCGAAACGAGACGGACTGATTAGGAGCGCGCCGAGAGACAACATAGGCGGCATTTTCGACACGGGCCTTTCATCCTCGCCGCGTGTCGCTCCTCGCCATCCACGCTCCTCTCGCCACGTCGCTCCTTCCCCGAGAGGCAAGCGCGCTTTCACGGTGCGCAAATCGAATCAGAACGCCCCCGCAGGGTCGACGACAATGTTATTTGTTAGCGGAAGCGTCGTAGTAACCGGAGCTTGAAACGAGGCCAGATTGCCACTGTGATCGAGTTAAACGGCACGTGGGCAGTAACGCCGTTGTCTCTATAGCGAGTATCTCCTCTCCTTTCCTCTCGCCTCCGTATATATCACGTGTCTTCCGTGTTCTCTTCTTGTGTGCCATATCCTCCCGCGAATCAAGCAGGAATTTTCGCGTGAAAAGAAAGAGAGAGAAAAAAGAGAGACGTTTTTTTGCGGCCGGACTGAAAACTCTCTCGGCCGACGGCTGTGGGGGGGTTTTAGGCGGCTTTATTTCGGGGATCGTTGGAGAGCCGCGGATTGACACGCGGCGACGTCTTGACAGCTTGTTAGGCTAACGGTTCACCCTCGACTTTGCTCCTCGAGGCCTAATTCCCCCCCCCCTTTTTTTTTTTTTTTTTTTTTCATTTTTTTTTTTCGAGCGGATCAAATTGATCTTTGATCGACGCGTATCATTGCGCGCGCTCCGATATAAATTCTTCGCAAATCTGTCGCCACCATTGATGGATTCCTAGTAATGTATAGTCGAATGACGTCGAAAGAAATTAAAATTTTGGTCGATTTGACATCGAAGTTGCAGCAAATATCAACGAACCTTCAACTATCGTTTCAACTTTTCGTTTCAATGTCGAATCGACCTTTGTTTCATAGCGATTTTTCTACGCTGATTTGAATCCAGGATTTAATAAGAACTACAAAAAGTATCCCATATCGACTCTGGGCGAAAATCGTAGGTTGCCCATCTTTCGCCGGCCGCGTTTACGCGCCTCGCACGGGCGACCTACGGTTACATTCGGGCATCGATACCCGCCGAACCCCGGCGACTGAAAATAATGAAAGTAATGGGAACACGCCCACTGCATTTAGCCCGCCGAACTAAAGCGCGCCGCGCTCTGTAACCCCTTGTTGCAACACCCCTTCCACACACGAGAGAGGGAGAGAGAGAGAGAGAGAGGACCGCGCCGCTCGCTGGCGCCTTGCCCGTCCTCACTCTCGTTCTATGCCCTATTGGCCATTGTACCTGCCACTTCATTGTCCTTTATTTCATTATTTTCGCCGCATTCCGCTCCGTCTCCCTCGACGAGGGGCGCGAAATCTCCCCCTTTATTTACGTACCGTAATAATAGACGTCTTAACGGAATTTAATAAACGTCATAAATGGCCCCGTGATCTCATTTAGTTTACCAGCTTACCTGGCCAGCCTGGCAACGCCGGCGTTATCTTCCCGAGCATCAAAGGCCAAGTCCCCCCTCCGTCCCCCTGCCACCCCAGCGCGCGCTACTGATCCCAGACCTTCGTGTTTTGTTCGCGATAGAGTCATCTCAAACGCGGCGTCGCTCGGAAGAAATCGCGAGATTCCGAAAGAGCCGTGCTCTTCTTCGAGTCGCTATAAACGCGCCACGAAGCGCGACGTCGATACAAACTCTCTCTCCCTCCCCCCTCTCTGTCTCTCTCCCTCCCCTCTCTCTCACCGAGATCTTTCGCCAGAAGGGCCAGAAGTAAATCTCGCGCGGATTGATCTCGCGCACGGACGCGACGCCGACGCGCGTATCCATCTATCCGATGTGTATCCGAGAATGTACCCCGTGATTTCGTCCCGATAACACGATTACGATCCTCTCTTCGTCCTCTTTCTCCACCCCCGCGAATCAACGGCGAGAAGGGAAAGTAGGGAAGGAGAGGAGAAGGAGGGGAAGGAGGGATGGAAGCGTGGCACGGCGCCACCCTCTCTCCTCTCTCTCTCTCTCTCTCTCTCTCTCTTTCTCTTTCTATACGCATCCCGCTGCCCCCGAACTCGACAGCCGACAGAGTAGCTTCGCTCGCTCTGATCCCTCGCAATTACTTCCCATTATCTGGGTATTAGGATTCACCCCAACTGGAAGCACGACGTGCCCCGCAAGCACCTCACCGCCTGCGTGACACGCGCGCGCGCTCGTTGGAAAATCTCTACCGTCCGCTACAATATCGTCCCTTTTCTTAACAGGCACTTGCCGATCTTGCCGATCTAACGTCGCCGCAACAGGTAGCTAAAAACGGCGCCTCGCGATCGTTTCACGCGACCGCGCGTAATCACCATTCAAACATGCCCGATTGTCGTAATTACGGGCTGCAACGTGTCGTCCGGTGAATTTTCTAATGTCTTATCGCAGAATTTTTGTTATCGTAGAACAATGGAATATTGTGTTACATATATGATTAAACGAGACTATATATACCGCTGTTAAATATTAAAGGATGAAATTTAAACCAATACTTTGTTATTTTTTAATTACCATATGTGTCGCAATTTATTATTTTAACACAAAACGGTATTATTTTAACTTCATTGCGGTTTGAATTAACATTGTTTTAGTTAAATTAACGACGTATTGAATAGGAGAGCAGTGGCGATCTATGGGAATCTCGGCCAGAAATGAGATTAGTCGAATCAATTTGTCGATTTGCTATCGATGCATGAATGAATGGTCGCTATCGACCTACTGGTTGATATTTTTGTCATCTTTGACCTCGTCATTATTTTTATGCTGATCCAGCAATCGCGAATATTTCTATTGGATTTCTATTGTCTTTTGGCCTTTCTCCCCTCCACGTTTCTATATCGAATACACAGTAAGTATACAAAACATCAATATAAAACTGACCGAAAGACAAAAGAAATCTTATAGAAATATTCATAATTGCTCAATTAACGTAAGAATAACTATGACGAGATCGACGATGACAAAAATATCAACCAATATGCAACATCGACCATTCATCGACGCATCGACATCAAATATTGTGCAATAATTGAAAAGATTCAACACCGCTTTGTCGGTAGAGTTAGTTTTTTCTTACAGAAAGTTCAATGTGTTAATTCTGACCATACGTATACGATTTCATGTTATGTATAAGCTTAGTTTACTTATCGCGATCTGCATAACGAGTTTGTGAATCAGAATTTTGCGTAACAGTATCGTGCTACAGGCCTCTTAGGAACAATTTAATTTTTTACGAAGAATTGCATACTTTATATTGTTTATACGGTAAATTCAAACCCCTAAATAGAATATGCTTACTGGCGAACAAATTCTCCAATTGTGTAGATTTTTTTCAAACATCTTTAAACTCTGTTAAACGCGATCAATATACTTTACTACCTTTATTAGATCTTATCTGTATTTTGTATGTACTATAAGTTGTAATTTGTAATTTTTGTATTCTTCTTTTCTTTTTTTCTGCATTTTCCTGATGTTATATAATTATAATTGTTATATGTATACTAAAGAGACCTCTATAAATCCCGTTTACATAAATAAATAAATTTTTTATTTAATTAAATAAATCGACTTTGTTCGATTCGACTAATCACTGGGATGGTTAAAAAATGACTCAAATTGAGTATAATTTGAATTATACTACGAATTTAACAGAGCGTAGCGTGTTTTGAATCGCACGCTTTTTATCTCACATTCTCATCTGGCTGTTTGTGTCATCCAAAATTTTATAATTTATATTAAATGGCACTTTTTTTATGAATGTTTTAAAACGTTTCAATAGCGCTGATTGCTAATAATGGCAGTCAACGCGTTAACGAAGCGGACCTCGCGAGCTTCATTAGTTGAGTTTCCCTCCCGTCGGTCGATTCGACGCCTCGTTAATTTTCGCGAAAATGTCTTCGGACCGTAGGCACACCGAAATGTCGCGCCGACCATTAACGAAACGATCGCGTTAAAGAGACTCGATTGTCGTCCGCCACGACCCGCGACGCAATTAAATGTCAATGTCGGTGCACGCCACGAGCGGTCCGTAAAACATTGGTGTCATTATGACAACGTCTGCGTTTTTCCGGTATAAAAATCGCTGTTTCTCTCCTTTTCCCCCCCCCCCCCCCCCCAAGATATATATTACGTATATTAGAAATTTCGGAAAACTGTTTGGGAAAAGACAAATCGAGGAGAAACAAGTGTACACATCACGTCATTCACGTCAGAGCATGACAGTTTAATTCCTCAACGAAAACCACGGCCTATTTTTACACACTTGACTATAAAAAGTAACAACAGACCAAATACCGTATATTTATTTACCGTATTTCGCTATAAAAAGTAGAGATTTCGGAACCAGCAAAACTTCATTTCTTTAGCTTTTTTTTCCTTTTTATTATGTTACGTAAGCGGGAAAAATCCAGCGACGCTCCGGCGACGGAATACCGTTCCGCGTTGAACAGCATTAATTATTTCAGTGACACGTAAATACTGCTTTAAAGACACACGAAAAGACGTTGGCTTCTTTCCTCTCGATCCCTCCGGGGCGGGGACGATCTCTCTACCGAATTCCGTGTTCTTCGTTATACGCGCCGAGCTCTTTAGCCTAGGTGAACTTTCTGGGTGCATCCGGAAGGGGGGCCCGGTACCACCAACGAAGAGATTATATCCCGTTCCTTTCTACGCGTGGTGGTTGCCGTGATCCTGGTAAGAGATGAGCGGGTGACACCCGCCCTCGTCGTGGCGCGTCTCAGCGATGCTGGCGTTGGGCGGAATGCTGGACGTGCTGCGGCTGATGGTGCAGGCCGACCGTGTGCGGATGCGGATGTGAGTGCGGATGCGAGTGCGGATGCGGATGCGGATGTGGATGCGGATGAATCGTCGGATGAAGAATCCTCGGCGGCGTGCCGCGTCTCGACAGAGGTGTCGGCAGGGTGCCGCTTCGCGCCGACGTCGGGGTCGAGACCGTAGACGTCGACGTCAAGGTCGGCGTCGTCGGGGCCGGCGTAGGCGCCGGCGTCGGTGTCGTCGGGGTCGGCGTCGCCGTCGGCGTCGGGGTCGGCGACGGCGTCTCGTCTCCCAGCACGTCGATCTCGTCGTCGTCCTCGTCGTCGGAGTCCGCGGGCGCGTCACTGCTCGCGCGCGACTCGCGCCCGCCGCTCAGCGAAAAGTCGACGGGACGTTCTGTCAACATCAGCAAACAATCGTCGATTAGTACTTTTCGTTGGGAACTTCCGGATAAAACTGTCCGGAGCGATATCCGAGCGAATATTTCCGATTTCTCATGTCTGCAAGCGAAACAACGTTGTTGCGACGAGATATTTTTATCGCTCAATCGGTTTCTCAACGCTAATACTTCCACGACTTTCCGCTCGAGCGAAGACAGTTTCCCGGTTCTAATATTGTCTCTCGATTGTGGTGACATTTGAATAAAAGTCGGATTCGCGGCACGCGCTTCTACGGCCTACGGTAGCCCTCAGCGGTGAGCACAATCGAGAATATAGGTCTGACCGAGCACTTAACAGGTAATTGAGCAATTCTCTCTCCAAGAGAGAGAGAGAGAGAGAGAGAGAGAGAGAGAGAGAGAGACAGAGAAGGGGAAGAGATAGAAAGAGAGAGAGAGACAGGGGTAAACGGGAGTCGGAACAGGACGGCGAAAGAGAGGCATCGAAGGAGGGAACGAATCTCCCCGCCGGAGTTCCTTACGTAGCTCGCCTCGAGTCTAAAGACGCCGAGGCGGTCGCGTCTTCTGTATGCCCTCCACCCTACTCACCCTCCTCCTGATACCTCCTTCTTGGTTGCTACCAAGGAGACGTCTATGTAACTCGGTTAGCCCTTCCTACCGAACGAAGCCATCTTGTCTACCGAGACGAACAACTTTGGTATATGGGATGCGAACGCCATGGACCAAACTATTTAAATCGCTCTCGAAATGTCTCCCGTCGTCTCGTTAAATAATCGCTTTTATATTCGTACGCCGTGAATCCCGGGGTGGCTTAACGAGCGCATCCGTCAAGAAAAACTCGTGCCAAATTATCGAAAACGGAAAACAACATGTATCATAAATCACTCGAGGCAACGACATCATCGCAGCGAATTTTCTTCTAGGAAATTAATGAATGAGTACTGCGTTATCGAAAACGAAAAATAACACGTAAATTGCTCGTCGAGAAAATGACACCACCGCAGTGAATTTTCTTTTAGGAAATTAATATAATGCCACGTTATTGAAAACGGAAAATGATATGTAAATCGCTTGAAGTTACTATATTACCGCGGCAAATTTTCTTTTAGACAATGTATGGCGCATCACGTTATTAAAAGAAAAACGGAAAATGACACGTAAATTCCTTGAGGCAATAATATACCACCGCAACAATTTTTTTTTTTCTAGGAAATTAATGTAACGCACGCCACGTTATCGAAAATGGAAAATAATAGGTATATAAATCACTTGATTATCGAAAATGGAAAATAAATTAGTCGAGACAACGACACTATCGCAGCAAAATTTCTTTTAGGAAATTAATGTAACGCGCGCCACATTATCGAAAACGGCAAATATGTATAAATTGCTCGAAGTAATGATATTACCGCGGTGAATTTTCCTTTAATTATAAAGTGCATCACGTTTTTGAAAACAAATAATAAATGTATAAATTGCTCGAGGTAACGACACTACCGCGGCAAATATTCTTTTACACAATTGTAAGGCTCATCGTTATTAAAAACAAAAAATAATACATAAGTCGTTCGAGGTAACGATACCATCGCGGCGAATGTTCTTTTAA